CGGCCCTGCCTAATGAATATTCATGATAAAACAGGACTCCGGGCTCGCCGTGGTACGAAAAAATAAGACGCTGACGGGATCATATCTAGAGATGCGGGCCTACTACACTTCATACGAGCAAGTGTGCTAATATACATGAAGGTACCCCCAATACATTTTTGTGGAACAAATGTCATGGAGAAAATTATAGATCTGAAACAGATATTTTTCATTGTCAGTTGACTTGTAAAAGAATAATTGACTTAATATCACAATTGTAATTTAGATTAAAAATTAAATGTCAATATAGATGAAATATAAGTCTACATTACGTATGTTTCAGTAGCATTATTTCCAGTACATTCGCTGGTCAAAGTTGTTTGGTCATTTTATGTCCCATACTTAACCGAGTATTATTCAATTACCGGTATGAGCACGAGTTGTATTACATTGTATTACTTATTTCATACCTTGTCTGATCCGAGCTCCAGCAGGCCTATCGTCTTAATGGGATCATCAGTAATAATTTAAGATGCGGTCAGTATTTAAACTAGTCTTGTACAAAAAATAGTTTAGGTTTGCCCACTAGAACCCCAAGTGAATTTCAGTCCTTCCTTTTTCTGAGCAGGTATCAGGGTGTATATTATTAGTCATTGTTGATTTTTTTATATCTTATTTCATTTTTCCATTCAACAGACTTGGGTTATATTTTTCTGAAAACTAGGCTACAACTTTAGTGATGGATGCAGAAGATATCTACACGAGACTACGTCTTAAAGATGCCACCCTCATATAATGAAAGAGGACAATAGAGATGGGTTTAAACTGGAATATTTACATGATATTTATTTGTTATTTGTATTATATGTTTGTAGAATACTACATTCAATAAAGCTAATGAAGTTTATCATCTTGTCGACTTTCAAATAATTAAAGATAACTAATCCTCAACGAATAAACATTAAAATTCTAACAATGTCAACTACCATCTTATAGGATGAAACTGAGGACTGGGCAGAAAGATTCTCCTTCAAATTTGATTGATAAAGGTCTATCAGTCTATATCAAAGATTGAATTAATCAATGATATTTTGATTATAATTATACATGTTAAAATTCATTTACCTCTATGGACTTCTGTATGGGAAGTTTTGTAGATTATGAAATTATTGCTACTTCAAGTATTGTATGTAAGAAGGTTTGAAAGACAACACTCTAAATGCATTAAATATGGAAACTGCTAATCCTCATTGCCTTTCGTATCCAAACTGGTAGCTTTCATAGAATCATGTTTCGATGCTTCCCAACTAAAGAAAACAGGGAGTGGGGGGGGGGGGGGGGGGGGCTTGCTATCCTCTTATCTTATCCTCTGTACAAATATGATTATATGTTTATATTAGAAGGATTTAGAAAGTGAAATTTTGAATTATAGCATTACTGTTGGTAGAAGTAATGGCAGTGTCGGGAGGGGGGGGGGGGGGTTCCTGGTGAAATTTACGGTATGCCAATGTCAAATTAATAAAAAAGAGAAAACTATTCTTAATAATAAAAATTATACAGTACATGGGCCTCCTAACAAAAACCCTGGTACCACTGTTGTGTTTTGAGTGTTTTTTTTTTGGGGGGGGGGGGGCTGGCAAACCAATTACAAATTTCCCGTGTTAAATTCAATTTTTTTCTTTAACAAAATTATGTCAATATATTGTAATTAAACAATGTTTCACTTTCCTTTTTTTCAAGTTAGATATTTGAATAAAATGATTAACATACTTTCCGGTTTCTCTGGCCTTTACATTAAAAATGTTTTACTTCTAGCAAAGCTCCTGGAAAGGCTGCAAAAAGGGAGAGTGAAGAGAATGAAATTGAAATGTGGACAGTAATGGAGTGAATATGGAATGGTTGATGGTAGTTGATAACGAGTGAATGCAAATGAGTGGCAACAAGTACGACTGAAAGTGAGACAGAAAGGAATTGCAACAGGTTGCTCAGTCAAGAGAACAAACCTTGCAGAAGATAGTTTTCGAAAGACAGAGAAAGAGAGAAAAGGGGAATTATAAAAAAAGGAAAAGGGGGCATGTGTCAAAGGGGCATTTATGAGAAAGGGTTGGGGTTGGGGCTCCTATTAAACAGGGAAAGGGGCACATATCAAAAGGTAAAAGGGCACTTGTTAGAAAGTTTAAGGGGACGCGTGTCAAAGTAAAAAAAAATGAAAGGGCTTTTATCAGATATCACAAGGGGCACTTATGAAAATGGAACAGTGGCACTTATTATGAAGTTAAAGGGGCATTTGTTGAAGAAAAAGGGGCACCTGTCAGATTTGAATAGTGGGTAATTATCGCCAGGGCCGTAGCCAGAGTTTTGGGGGGGGGGGGCACATACATGTAATTGATCGACGTCCTGGGGAGGGGTCAAAAAGAGTTCAACCGATCTTGGATTTTTTTTTCTTCTTTTTTTTCTTCAATGTATGTGAAAGAATGTGTAGTTTTCTCTCGAGTTTGTCTCATCATGCGTGGGATCTGTGGGTGCTGGGGTTCCTGCAGCAACCCTGTACATGTATTTTCTTCAGTGGGTGCATATAACTCGTGGACTTCACATTGTAAACCTTCAAATGATGAATTATCATCGAGTCCCCCACCCCTACCCCTTCCCTCATTATTTTAGAAAGAAACCAAAGAGAACTTTTAAGAGAAAAAGAGAAAGGAAAGGAAAAAATGGTAGCTAGGCCTAAACAAAAACAAGAGGCAAGATAAAAGAAAACAAGATTGAAGATATGGTATCAATATTATCTTGCTCCTTTCCCTTTTTCTTTTGTCTTCTTTTCATTTCAATTTTCTTGCAATTTATTTCTTTCTTCCTTGGTATCTATTCCGTATTCTTTTTTTCTTCCATTCATTTATTATTTATATATATTTTACTTTTTAACTTTGTTATTCTTCTTTCTAATCCCATTTTTCTTTCTTCCTTTTCTTCCTTATGTAGTTAAGTGAGCATAGATCATAGAAATAATTTAAGTGCAATACACAAGTATTTTATTTTTGATAAATGTCTGTATGTAGGCCTATTCTTGTTATCTATTTTATACAGTTTATAATACTGTATCACATATTCAATACCATAATGCAACCTCTGCTTGTAATATTTAAAAAGCAAACCTAGAACTGATTATTTACCAATTCATGAAAAGAACTAGACTCCCATTAATCTCAGAAAAGTAGGCCTAGGCTACTCACAAATTGCCTATCAAGACTCTTACTTGAAATATATGCTATATATCTTGTCTACCGGTACTGACATTTTGGCATTTACTAGTAATTAAACACAGCATTTATGACTGTATTATCTAAATGACCATGACATTGCTTTTCTATGTCATATTATAGGCCTGCCATTAATCCAACGTACTTGTTACACACGATATTTGATGCTGCGCATGCCTCGATCATACATGAATATTCAAGAGAATCGAGACTTTCCCCGGCCCTGCCTAATGAATATTCATGATAAAACAGGACTCCGGGCTCGCCGTGGTACGAAAAAATAAGACGCATGCCGTTCGCCGGCTGGCTGATTCGCCGCTTAATATTTTCTCAAGATTTGGCCCCCCCCCTCTTGCCGCCGGCTGGATCCGCCCCTGCTTAAGCCCCCCCCCCCTTGATGAAAATGTCAACAATTTTTCTTTTGGTCTCAAAAAAATCGCAACGACTCAGCCATCCGCTGAATAAGCGGGGGGGGGGGGGGGGTAAAAAGGACACTTTTTTTGGGGGGGGGGGGTGTCTCGTAATTAGAAAATTTGACATTTTGCTCCCTTGGGGGGGGGGGGGTTTCGTCCAAAATACACACATAAAAAATACCAAAGGGGGGGGTTTAACCTCCCGAACCCCCCCCCCCCCCCCCCCCCCCTTGCGTACGCGCCTGGTTGTGCGCATGCGCCACCTGTCGCTGTTCTGCATTCGTTTACACGGAGACGAAGAATAGTTCACCTGTTTTTTTTTATTAGTGCGAGCAATTACACTGCGAAAACCGGTGGAGTTTCGGCCGGCGTTTCAAAACTCCTCACTCCAAAGGCGCATGATAGATTACATGTATACGATAGAACATATCAATTCAAAACTGATGTTGAGACATACAAATGATACAATTAATATTTTTCTTGTTTATTAAAAGAAATATGTGCACTTTTACGTTTGTATTTCAACGTTTTCTTGTTTTGAAATATGTAATGTGTACATATAGGGCCTCTCAGACGTGTCAGAAGTACAGTTTTATTACTAAGAGAAGTACGTGTACATTGTTTCATAGAAAACAAATGAAGCAAAAAATATATGTATATACAATAAACAGATTTGAATTTAAATTTGAATTTATTCATTTTTATATGCTCGAATGAATACAGAAAAGGAACAATATAAACTAAACATTGAATTCATCACAAACGCGAATTAGGTGATCTTCCGCTTTGATCGAGACATAGCACATGCAGAAAAGCATTGGGAGATTTGGTCTTTAAAGGCAGACTTTACTACTTCAGCCAGAAGGGATTAGACCACACAGCGAGGTCAATGTGGCAGGTGGCTCTCTCATTAACTCAGCTCTCATTTAACATAAGAAAAAGAGGATCATGGGGGACCAACAGGCACCGATTGGGGAAGTTTTCTATATAGAGGGAGCAAGTAGCTACAGGTAGGACAGTGGGGCTTTAAATACAAAATACTCACATTCCGTTTATATTACACGCATATCAGAAATTTCAGTCTCCTGTGACGCGCGCACGAACATGGCTGTAACCAGAAGTTTACCCTTGACGTCAAGTTTATGCATATCAAATATCATTCATAAATGTCTATCCATGACAGAAATATATAGATAGCACGTACAAGTAGAAACTTTTTGCAGTCTTCAAATTAAATCGGACTTTAGACCATGATCCCCTAATCGAATCGAACTCAATATTTTGACGCCAAAGCTTTAGCTCTCTGTGGTTCTCTTTCTGAAATATATCACTACGAACATCATCTGGGAAACTTTCCTTACTTCCTTGCTTTATTTACAAGCGCATTATCACTCTTCTTGTATCTCATAATAATTACTTGGCTACAAATAACTTAGCCAAGGAATGTCTATAACATTGATATATCATTCAATTTACCATAGCTTCTAATTATAAAACCCACCACTTAGCGTCTCCATTAAGAATCATATAGACATGATACAAGAATGTTAGCATAATCATCCCCATACTATTGTCTTTTGAGGTTCCTATACTTTACGCTCCGAGACTGAGGCTTCACTAATCCATGAATTAACAAGCCTTTTTTTGTCTCAGGTATTCACAATTGTACTGTATAAACTCGTAACACTTCCTAAACTATTCATATATTATACAATAGTCATCTGTATCACTTTGATTCAATACTTCCTTTTCCAGCGAGATTACTGAGCTTGAAAAGACACATATAGACACTTATTTTCTAAACTTTTACGATATTCACATGACTAGCAAGTAGTCCTTGTCTGCACTAATTACTGTATATTACTAGTGAACTCACAAACAGTTATGATTTCCTCTTACTATAATCTCATCTAAACATACATGTACATCGATTTCATATTCTATCGAATTAACAGACAATAGTTTACTAAATTTAATAATCTGATGTTTACATACAAAGTAATCTAAGAGTGAAAGAGAAGGGGGTAAACAATACAGAGAGAAGGAGAGAGAGAGAGAAAAAAAAAATATAATTCACAATAACATTTAGCCTTAATTTTTATATTTCTAACAAACAATGATATAATGAGTTTCACACTGTGATTATGCAGGTCTTCAATTACAATATTACATCAACCAATCCCATACTACTACTAGACAGTCTGATAATATTATAAGTTTCTTAACAAGCGCATCATCCTAAAGAACTTCATTCTTTCATTCCCGCCCAAAATACCACTTTCTAGCAAGGGTCAACAGGGCGAACAGTTTCTACAGCATTTTCTAAATTCATCCCTGGCTCAAGGGGATACCAGTAGCACAGAGCAAGTATCTAGCTGAAATAATGCACAATTATACAAATATCCCCTTGGTTCACTGGCCAGCCTTCATGTCTCATAGACGGTCCCTTGATGCTAGTCACGCATCAGTAATAAAACAAAACTATCTTCGTTAGGATCAATACTCATTCATAATTATGGCAATGAATGATAACATGTTAGAAGATACTTTAACATTGTTTATATACTAAGTGAAAAATAGGGGAACTAGTAGTGATCCTTGTGTTACGCCACATGTGATCTCTTCCATGTGAGATTCGCTGCTATAACAAAAGCATATTACTAATATGCTAATACCTAATAGGTATTAAATACCTGTTACATAGTTCCACCAGGGAACTCACATGCCCTGGTTCCACAATGTACCACTCCTTAGCCCTTCCTCTAATACCAAAATGAGAAAATTTGAATAAAAGGATAATCATGATTTCTCGTGTCAAAAGATGAATGATGAATGATTATACAGGAATACTTACAGTATCGAAACACAAATAAATAAATCAATTAAGTCAATTAGTGGGAGTTACTCTATAAATCACTCGGATATGAACTAAGCGATGACGGTGGTTCCTCTAATCCTTCCAGGTCAATCAAATCGCGATACAAATTCAAAGATATGTCCACCAAACTTCTGTCTTCCTTTGAGAATGGATCAAAGGTTGTATTTCTCTTTGGTCTATGAAACTGACCCTCTGCATTCGTAACTGCACATGCAAGCCTTTCTTCATCTATGGTTATATTCAAGTATTCAAGGATTCGTCGCAGTTCGTCCTTGAGATGCAGTTGGAGTTGCTCGTAATACACGATCAACGTCGACTTGCAGGTGTTGCCCGAATGGTGACATTTGGAGATGAAAGCTCTATATAGCCCGAGCCAACGACGAGAGTTTCCCCTGACATATTTACGCCACTCTATAAGAAAGTAGAAGAGAATTGAAAAGTCATAACTATTATTGTAATTTTGTATGGAATTATTAATTAACCGTAATAAACAAACAAAAATTTAACTAGCAAAAAGTAGCAGTAGTAGTCGTCGTAGTCGTTATTTAAGTGGTAGTAGACATAGGAGTAGAAGTTGGTGTTGTGGCTGTCGTTGTTGTTGTCGTACGTAGTAGTAGTAGTTGTTGTTGTTGTAGGAGCATTATTATAGTGTTACTTCCTGTTGTAGTAAATTTAGGAGTTTTAGGAGCAGTCGTAGTAGTAGTATTACAACTTACAGAAGTAGTAGTAGTAGTTTTAGGAGCAGTAGTAGTAGTAGTACAATATCAGTAGTAGTAGTAATTAAGTAGTAGTTTGAGGAGTAGTAGTACAGTAGTAGTAGTTTGTAGTAGTAGTAGTAGTAGTAGTAGTAGTAGTTTTAGGAGCAGTAAGAGTAGTATTAGTAGTACAATAGTAGACGTAGTAGTAGTAGTATTAGTATTAGTAGTATCAGCAATAGTAGTAGTAGTCGTAGTAGTAGTAGTAGCATTACAGTCGTAGTTGAAAGAAAAGTGGTAGTTGTACAGTAGTAGTAGTAGTAGTAGTAGTAGAAGTAGTATATATTAGAAGTAGTATTAGTGGTAAGAATGGAATTACCTAACCCCCTGTATAGTGCAGTAGTAGAAGTGATATTAGGAGTAGTAATGGTGGTCGATGTAGTAAAGTAGTAGTAGTAGTAGTAGTCGTAGTAAATGTAATCGTATATCATATAGCTCCGTTTAGTCTCATTTGACAACGCCCCCTATCGTCAGAGTCAGCAGCCTAACATGTTAGCCTATGGACTTTTACCCCCAAAATCGTTAAAAATTCATTTTTTTGTTTAAACGAAAAGCACATCCACCCCCCGACGTACGTTATCACTAGCTCTTTCATTCATGTCTCAGTTAATAGTATACAAATGATACATGCGCATGAGTTCATTATACTATCTATCCGCACTCGAGTTGAGGCTGTGTGTATTTATATTCCACATACAAAGAATCTTGCGCTACGGTTGGTCAAAAGTAAATCACGTGATGAAAGATAGTTCGCCCATCATTAATGGGAGAACAGAAGTTCGTTGCACTGTGTAGATAATAGTACTATCTACACAGTGCAACGCACTTTTTTGTATACGTTGCATATCCGTTCGTGGGCCTATACGTAAGTACTGCATGCACTGTACGTGTCGTACACCGTTTGCTGGCTTGTTAATGGACGATTTGTTCGTCTAACATGACGGAGGAAGTGCAATGTTTCCGATGTGGAATATAAAGCAAAAAATCACCTTTCGGTTTCAGGCGATGCCAAACTATCACTTCCTCGGCGATCTGAATGTATACGCTACCTTTCCTCAGCCTCGCTTCGGAAAGATAGCTACATCCAGATCGCCTCGGAAGTGATATAGTTTGTCCCATCACCTTTACCAACGGTAATTATTTGCTTACTATCGCACGAAGCCGTTAGGTATACACACATCATCAACGAGGGCGGTTAGATCGTATAATGAACGAACGAACGAAAACATGCATCATTTGTTTCATACAACGAAACTCCTAGATCCTTTTTATTTGATGTAAAAATATTTCATTCAAGATTGTTTCGTGGCTAACAAATAAAATCTCAAATCTCAATTCTGAAATCTCAAGTTAAATAGGCTTAATTTAGTGCGCACACATAGATAAGTGCACTTACCTCTAGCTCTATACGCATTTACGCATAGTGCTGCGCAAGAATAGGCCCATACGCAGTATATGCGCCCTAACCTAAACGCGCACTACTGCGCATCATGTACACGCACTAAAAAAAAAAGGCGTGCAATAGTACTGGAAACTATTGCACGCCTTTTCATGAAAAAACGTGCAATAGTCTAAGTAAATGAATCACATGTGACCGCGCATGACCAATCATTTGATAAGGATCTGGGAGTGAGTTGTATAAAAGTAGTTGTTACTTTTGTCGTATAGTAGAAATAGTAGTAGTATCAGTAGTAAGAAGAAGTAGTAGTGGTAGTAGTTATAGTAGTAGTATATGATTACCTGCTGTTTTGAATGTTTTTTCACGGGCATGTCCCGTCTTGCCAGCTTTCTGCCTGTTATACTCAGATATCATCGCTCGATATGGATTGCGTACAAGTAAAATAGCACCGACCGTATTCTCATTGAACATGTGTGTCTTGATTGTCAGAGCCCTGCCTGAAAGGGCTGGTTGCATTTCGCCTATAAAACCTGTCGTGAATTGGTTAAAAATGTGCGAAATTAATGGAAAGCATTTATTTTTTAATAAACCATTAAGTAGTAGTCTAGCTAGTAACGGAATCGCATTTCAAGAGAACTAGGCTTTTACAAAATTCCTCCAGTAGAAGGCTTTTTTGGCAGGCAAATATAGCGTGGACCTGCAGGAATTGAAAGTCATATTTATTGAAATACTGAACTCGATCTTCTATTGCCTCAATGAGACAAGGTGTCTCAATTATTCTTTGCTGACTACACTTTTCTACCTGAAAATAATTTGGCCGATGCCATACTTTTATAGACTTGAACATCCACATTTAGTTGATTCGGTTAAGAAAGAAAAAAATTAATCTGCGGTCTTCATTGATTTTTTTTGCAGTAAAGTTAGATTATTTTTATGATGGGACATTTTTGTTGGGAGCTTGACCCTAATAAAATTAGTCGGTGACATCGATAATGTGTTTACCATCACACCCCCTCCCTGCCCACCCCAAAATCTTGAAATCTTTTTTTACCGTTTTTTAGAGAAAAAAATATAGCATTCCAGGCTGAGAAATATCAGCCCAAAGAGGGAGAGAATTTTTTTTCCAACCGACCCATGTTTTGGCAGGTTATGATAGCGCGTTAAAAACCATATGCGAGCCAATCATCAAGCCAAACATTGACCTTACACTGACCTTAAAGGGGATTATTTCAACATTGGTGTCAGACAGAAAATCCCTTAAAAATCCCTTGAAAAATTCTTTCAAGGGAGAATTATCTTGCTTCGTTAGAGGATTTTTTAAGGGATTTTTTAGGGGAATTTTTAAGGGATAATTGATGACAGACAGCCAAATAAGAGGATAACTAAAATCCGGAATTTTGGGCTCTGTGTGACACCGCCTAATGAAAAGTCCTTTGGCAAGACAGAGTCCACATTTGACGCTCTCTTCACAGATGTAGATGGGTACATGATAATTGATGTGGTAATAATGGTTGCTGGGCCCGCAGGAAGAGCAAATGTGGCAACGGCTAATTAAATAAGACCAAATTATTATCATTATAACCTCACATGATGTTTGCTTGCAGGACACCATGGTTATTGAAATCTCGCCACGCTCGAGCAGCTAAACTTTTAACAGTAATTTCCCACATTCATGTTAAATTTGCCTCTGCCAAAGTTTTAGTTAAAATGGATCATCAACATAAGGTTTGACTCCTTTGATTAAGTTGGACTAAACTATGGCAGGACATTCATACCACTGGTTGCTCACACCATTGGTTTCTTAATTATAATATTTAGATGATATTTTTTCCTTCTATAATGAATTATCAAATCAGGTAAATTCTGTAGATTTGTGACCACGATTTGTACGTCCCTTGAGAAACCAATGCCAGGCATGGTTAGAGGAACTAGTGGCATGAAAGGCCTGACATAGTTAAGTCAAACTTAAAGTCGATCTTAGTCTTTGTGAAACACCCCCTGGTCTCCTTCCGAATTGACATGTATTCGTTCAAAAAAAAAGAGTAACTCCTAATCACAATTCATCTCAATGTGGGCAAACGCGCTATTCTGAACCGTTCTTTATTTTTAAAAAAATGGTCAGCCATTATTTGTTGAGAAACCTCATAAATTAAAGAAGACAATATTGGTTTGTATATAAAATATCAGGCCTTGAATATGGGTCTCCCTGTCTTACATTGGATTGCGTTTTTAAATAGTTCATTTCTCACAATTTTTGGGATCATCACACCACTCTTCTTATGGGCCGACGGTCTCGTAAACTCTCTGAAACAATAAAGAGGCCTACGAGACTGAAAAGTTCATGAGGCCTGCCTTCTTCAGCTCTAGTTTGCCAAATAACCATTTGAACTATTCCGATCGCAAATTAGCCAGTTAATTTGCGTCATCATCAGTCCGCACTTGCAATTAGCGGGATATTTGGTAGAGAAAATATCCCGAGAAATCTTGGTGTTGTTTCCAAAATATCCCGGTATTTAGGAAATAGCGGGCTAGTAATTTGCGCCCGTCTGAGCTAATTGTGATAAGCGTATTGGTCTGGTAAAGACGCAATTTCGAGCTTCGGGATAATATCCCGAGTCTGAAAATGGCAGGTTGTTTGGCAAACTCGAGCTGATGACAACAGACCTAAGGGCTGATTGGCGGGAGAGGGAAAAGTAGTTGTTATTCGTACCTCGGCTACTAAGTATTGGGCTCGTATACACACTTCCTGTGGCATAACCAGTTGCAGTCTCTATGAGATGTCTAACCCACGTATTACCTGACCCGGGAAAGCTAGCCAGCGATATAGGTGGGAATGTCCCTTTTGGCATCAGTCGTGTGTCATTGCAGAAAACCAAACCTGCCCGTGTGAAACGATACATTGCATAAAAAACAATTATGTGCATATTGATATATTTATTCATTTATTTGGTTATCTTTCAAAAGCAGTGCCACAGAAGGCCTGGTTAACAAGGCAGCCCTGCTATGAACAAAATAATACATTATAAAATATTAAATATAAAAACTACATGGTAAAGATAATACAGCTTTAAAGCGGGACTACACTATTTGTAGCTACTCGCACCCTCTGTATAGTACACAATGCCTAAGCGGTACCCGTCGGTCCCCCATGGTACCCCTTTTCTTATGTTAATTGAGAGCTGATTCGATGAGATAACCACCTGTCAGCGACTAGGCAGGAATGTCAAATCCCTCCTGGCCAACACAAACCAAAGATGTGTGGTGATTTATACTGGTTTTAAAACTTAGTAGGGAAGGAGATGTTTGAATGAAAATTGATAGTAAGTTGTACAGTTGTATTGCAAAGTATGAGAAAGAGCCTTTTTCTTTTTCTGTCGTATGTTTAAGGTAAAAAGAGTCAGAGACCTAGTTACAGTTGAATTTAAATTGTTTGAAGGGCAAACAATAATGGCGACAGGTTATTACGAAATAAACACAAGTATAGGCAATATAAATGCAGAACCTCTCGTTTTAAACAAAGTGCAATACCATATTTTATTGATCTTCTTAATTATCGCTGATTGTTTTAAGTTTTTCTTTTCAAACCCAATTTTTTTAATTTGTATATATGAACAGTTGTCTTTTTAACCAGACCAGTATATTTTATCTGTCATGGTTTCATTGTACTATAATGTAGATATATTTTGTGAATGGATATTCTTTCCTATTTATATGTATCCTTGATCATTGTAAACACATACATTTCAGCTTTTTAGCTGCAGCATGTGTATCATTGTATACTTTATGTTTTTTTCGAAATAAAACCTTGAATTGAATTGAAAATTGAATTATTGAACACAACTAGAAGTGAGTATCAATTTGAATATGAGCAGGTAACCATGCTGTGTGTTTGTGTGCGTGTGTGTGCGTGTGTGTTTGCGTGCGTGTGGGTGTGTGTGTGTGTGTGCGCGCGCGTGTGAGGAGGGCTACACGTATGTGAGTGTGCATGTGTTCGTATAAGGATGAGCGAGTTGCAAATGGTAATGGGTTTTGTTTGGGTTTGGATAATATTAGGGAGGGGATTGTAATTTATTTAATTTTTTTTAATGATTTTCATTCAAAATCAAATTTCGCTCGCAATTTCTGGATTATTCATGCATTAAGGATTTTGAATAACGTTATGATGAAAAAGAAATGTAATTTGAAGAAATATTTGTATTGTTTTTATATTGAATGATATCAAGATAAAAACTAGAACTGCAATCGTATTAGAAAGATATGCATGCATTGACGCCCATGTTTCTACAAGACAGACGAAAGAGCGTCTCTTTTACTATTTAGAAGAATTTATTACAAGTCTGTAGTATCTATGATAGTGGGTTAGGTGGGTGCTTGTAGCATTTACACATTTCAACTTTTGTGTCTTTTCCCATTATAAATCTCAATGTTTGTATGGTTATAACTTTTGTCTATTCGTTTGTCTGGTCTGGTCTGGAAAAACAATTGATTAATAGTACTAACAAACCTATTTTATGATCTATTCGAATATCTGATTGAATTACCTGTCTCCATTGCGTTTGTTGTTGTGTTTCGTGTTATAATCTGGTCGGGTTCAATTCTAAACGGAGTCGGCCTGTCTCCCAAGTGTCGGACTCTACTTCGAACACCATCTTCGCTGATGCTGGAAATGTAATATGCCGTTAGTCCCAACAATAAAATCAGAAGTAAAGTGAACATCTTATTCCAGTCGTATCCCATGGTTATTCTTAGGACAATCTAAAGACAGACACGGAAGAGAAATATTTATGATTAAATCCTGTACCTTGAACATTGCTGTGTATATCGTACATTCTAATTAAAAAGAAAACAAATGAATGATTTAGGAAGATCATCGTGGAATTTCAATGAGGAATTTGAAGTTAGTCCTTGTAGATTTTTACAACCTGTGTCCCTTTTTCCAGACGTGGCATTGCCAGTGGCTTTGACCGTATAATGGGTAATTATGACTTGGTGTTGAGTCATAGTGATCCAGGTCCTGATTCAGCGTAGATCGGATATAGGGTAGGTGTGGGGGAATTGGAGACCCTTAAGCACATTTGCATTATTTACATAAACATGAAAAATGTTACACTTACAGAAAGTTTTGTATTCTCTTCAGTAACTTCTTCTCTTTATTTGGTAACAACATTGTGGTCATTATGTAACTGATTAAAAAGATAACAATGATTAATGACTTCATCACCAAAGGTCTCTCATTAACTACATGTGTAGGTAATAAGGGACAGTTACACATAAATACATTTTAAATACAATGTGAATGAAAATGGGTTTGTCATAGTTAGATGAAACACTTTTTTTACCGTAATTTTGAAACGATTTTAAACAATGTGGCCAAAAATATTTTTATAGCTTTTTGTTTACAGCAATGAAGGTGCTTTAAAGGCCCACTGCACTACTTGCAGCTACTTGCGCCCTCTATATAACAAACGATGCCTAATCGGTGACCATTGCCCCCCCCCACGATCCTCTTTTTCTTATGTTAACTGAGAGCTGAGTTGATGAGATAACCACCAATCCAGTGACCTTGCAGGGCAGTCTAATCCCTCCTATAAACTACGGCAGATAAGCTTTAAATTATGTGTAAATACTTTCAGAATAATGTTCTAGCAATGTGACTTTTACATTGATCAAACTCACAGCCTAGAAACAACTTCTTAAAATAAAATGCATTCAAATTAGAATACGGTGATCTGGTGTTCCCCATTGCCTTCACACATTTCTGAACAGACACTATTCATAATGTGCATTGCAACACCCATTCACAACACACAATGGCCATAAGTTTTCTGTGATGGTTGGCACACTTCATAAACTTCCTTTAAAACTACTTTTTAAGAGCCACCCCTAAATATCTGCATACATCACAACATTCGGTGAAAATTGTGTTTTTATATCAGAACAACATTTTACGATCAAAATTGGTTATCTAGGTCAATTTTGCCAATTTTCTCGGAGAAATAACGCATTGTAGTCTTCGAAATGAATTGGATATATGCAGTAGTGTTGTTAAAGACCACAGATAGCGCTATAGCAATATTGGAGCCGTCAGGGACAGACAGTGATGGGTTCAAGCTTGGTGATCTCCAATTCCCTACACCTACCCTAGATCCACTAGATCTACCCCCAAAAAAGTCTCCCCTAGCTTCCCAATCCTACACCCCTCCCCTAATTGTGCTCTTATGGTACTGTGCCTTGATTGAAATATTTATTACAAAAACATATTTAGAAAAAATATGTATTGTCACGAAATTGGTTTCATTTCGTAGATAGTTATTTCGGCGTAGATGGCGTAATTCAAGTTAAATATACGACGCTAAAGTTACGTGTTAATTCAAGAATGTTTGATTGTGCATGTTTTTGACAGTTTTAGTGTAATTACTTTTCTATCATTAATAATTACTTGTTCTCTTTTGTTTAGTTTTATAGAGTAAAACTAGTGCTTTTATTTGATATATGGTTTGTTTCAATCTGATATTGGAAAGTGGAGTTATATCAATGTTTATGTAATTATTGGAAACCTAACGAGAATAATAAATGTATAAGAAATGTGTACATAAATCAAGTGTCTCGCTTGTCTGTGAGCTTCCTGTCATAGTCTACATAATTGCCGTCGCCCACTGGGCACACTTACATTGTAAGGCAATCAGATTATGTTTGGATACTTGCCCAATAAAGTATTGCGTGCAACGAAATGATTGAGATGATCGTTTGCATGTCTTTCCATGGGGAAACCTAAAGTTGAAGTCTGATTTTAGGTGACGACCATGGTAAGAATCTAGGTTGTGTTTGTTGGGTCTTTTACGTTCTAGTATTAGACAATACCAGGGATTACTGTGTAGCAGAGCCAGTGGCATGGTCGAGTAAGCTGACTGTACGAAGTCAGACGGTCTGGTTGTTTGGAGGTGCATGAAGCAAACTGGTGCGACCAATTGGAGTTGCATGCACAAGCAGACTGGTATAGACGTCTGGAAGGTGCATGAAGCAAACTGGTGCGGCCAATTGGAGTTGCATGCACAAGCAGACTGGTATAGACGTCTGAAAGGTGCAGAAGCGGACTGGCCTAGTTGGCTTGTGGTATACGACGTACGTACAACGGTTGGTAGAAGACGGTGGTCGAGAGGTGGTGCGGAGCAATATATCAGACTGGTGTCAACGTCAACGGGGCAGTATATTTCTGCCAAACGGATCCACGGTAAAATTGGTACCGGACCTGGAAAACCTACCAGCAGAAGGCATCCTGACAAGAGAAGCTGCTGGGAAGAACATCGACAGGAACCGGTTTCGTTACAGTATTCTTATATTTTTATATTACTAATATCTTAACATTTACTTTGTTTGAAGTGATTTTTCAGGACTATGCGACCCCCTCTTTTTTCCTTGTTGTTGTTGCTGTTGAGAAATATGGATTCAACCCTACATATGACATGGGTATTTCTATCTATAACTCTAAATGACATGAAAATACGTATAAACTGATAACTTGTACATGCATTTGATCCTAGCATTGAACGTTACTAACTTTTTGTTGTCTTATAAACATAGATTCTTTGGAACCGTATCGCAAGAAGTAGTTAGTGACCACAGAAGTGCAACAGTGAGCACCTGATCATCAGATGTTATTGTGTACATCCAATCAGGTACAGGATACCTGAGTTTAACTCTGGCAAGGTATGTTTGTATGAAGCTAGGAATTATTCAGGCTGCATGATATTGATGTTCGCCAATGAGGCTGACACATCTTGTTTAGGCTATTGTTTTAGACCAGAGATAAAGCAGTCAACAATTAGTGACCGTTGGAGTCTGTGAAAGTGTTTCCTGCGTTGCAACATGCAGAACTAAACGAGATCGGGGTCGAATGGCTCGATGGCTCGTGAGGAGTTGACCAGCGGAGAGTAGAAATCAGTCTGTCGTAGACCATGGGTCATCGGAGTGTGGTTGAAAAACCACCCTAAGCGGCTGTAGTATAATTAATAAGCAATAATAAACATGGTATCCTATCATATTAGTTTGATACAAAAACACACTAACAAATGTTCTTAGAATGTAAGCACTTTCTCACAATATATACATACGATGTTGACTTAAACATTATTTATAAAACTAGACATATAACACTTGTTTGGAACAAGTATAGGTGGGCTGGTCAACTAAAACAATATCATGTAGATTCATAAAGTGAACTAAATTCACCTTCTATAGGCATAACACGCAAATTATGAAGTTTTTGACATGAGGCCTTTAATCAAAATTTTTACTATGATGACGTCATCAAAATGAAAAATAGTTAAAACTGCGCTTGTAGAGAATTGTCTTAGCTACAACATATCGAAATTTTGAAGAAAATTGATCAATATTTACAGAGATACAATCAATTTTACATAAATATGCTGACGTCATAATATGCAAATTCGTATTTTGAGTTCCAAGGCCATTGTGATGATGTCACGATACACTTAATGGCCAAATGAGACATGGAATCATATCTCCGACTCATACTCTATCTAAATATGAAAAAAAATAAAGGATCCCGGTGCATTCCAAAGAGCTATAACGGATTTTATATAGGCATATTTTTGCCCATATATGCTATGTATTAAAAGAGCTCGCGCGCACTGACATTTATCTTGAATTGACGCTCATCTTGTTAATAATGGTCATAAAGAGATAAACATGGTATCAAATTCCTTGAAAAAATATGAGATATATCATGAAAGAAAAAAAATGGCGATTCTATGTTTTTTAATGGTGTTACGCGCGAAAACGCGCGCGCATGTGCGTGTGCGCGATTTTTTATAAAATGCTTAAAATGACTTGAAACGTATGCAAAATAAATTTGAGACGATTTTGAGCATTTTGAATTTTGCGCGCGCATTGACGCGCGGACGTACGCGCACGTGCGCGTTTTTTGACCTGAAATTGACCGGACTGATATTGACCTTAATCATGATAAATATGATTGAAAAATCACTTTTGGTTATGAAGATATGATCAAGAGTTTTTTTTCAGAAAATTTCACAAAATGGCGCCTAGATGACGTCATCAGTCAAGGTCAAGGTTCAAAACCTTACTGTGTTTTGTCCATATGCCTATACATATGTGTGCCAAATTTCAAAGCATTTGATTTAATAATTTCAAAGATATCTTGCTAACAAAAAGTGGGTCGAAATAAGAAAAATAACTAGATTTGTAATACTTGTTTGGAACAAGTATAGGTGGGCTGGTCGAACCAAAATTTAAGACAAAATGAAGGGTACATTTGAGATAGCTTATTGTCTCAGCTATAACATACTCGAAGTTCAGCGTAAACGAAGCTAAACGACAGAGATATTGCTCGCGAAAGAATCCAGTTTTGAGAAAAACTCATGTCCCATAGAGAATACACTCAAAATGTGAAAAATTGACATGTCTTTTTTAATCGCGAAAATACGCCCTGATGCCTTTGTCAAAATGAAAATTAGGGCCAATTTTATTTGTAGAGAATTGTCTCAGCTAAAACATATCAAAATTTTGAAGACAATCGATCAATATTTACAGAGAAACAATCAATTTTCCGTAAATATGCTGACGTCATAATATGCAAATTGAAATTTTGAGTTTGGAGGCCATTATGATGACGTCATGAGTTAATTGAGGGTCAAATGAGACATGAAATCATATCTCCAATTCATACTGTATCAAAATATGACCCAAAAATTGGGGTCACCTTGCATCCTAAAGGGCTACAATGGATCTTGTATAGGCATGTTTTTGCCCATATATGCTATGTATTACAAGAGCTCGCGCGCACGGAAATTTATGTTAAACGGTCGATCATTCCATTATTAATAGTCATAAAGAGACAAGCATGGTATCAATTTGTTTGTAAAAATATGTGGAATATTATGAAAGAAAAAAAATGGCGATTCTATGTTGTGTAATAGTTTTACGCGCGAAAACGCGCGCACCGCGCGCATGCGCGTGTGTGTGGGCGATTTTTTATAAAATGCTTAGAATGGCCTAAAACGTATGTAAAATGATTTTGAGATGATTTTGAGCATTCAAAAATTTTGCGCGCGCATTAACGCGCGGACGTACGCGCACGCGCGCGTTTTTGACCTGAAGTTGACCGGACGGATATTGACCTCGATCATGATAAATATGAATGAGAAATAGCTTTTGGTTATGAAGATATGATCATGAGTTGATTTTTACAAAATGGCGCCTAGATGACGTCATCAGTGAAGGTCAATGTTGAAAACGTTATTGTGCTTTGTACATATGCCTATACATATGTGTGCCAAATTTCAAGGCATTTCATTGAGCCATTTTCAAGTTATCTTGCTAACAAAAAAGTGGTTAGAAATAAGAAAAATATTTAATAAATAAATAAATAAATAAATAATAACTAGATTTGTAATACTTGTTTGGAACAAGTATAGGTGGGCTGATCCAACAAAAAATTGAGACAAAATAAAGGGTACATTTGAATAGCTTTTTGTCTCAGCTACAACATATTCGGAGTTCAGCGTAAATGAAGCTAAAACGACGTAGATATTGCTCGCGAAAGACGGGAATGTAGAATCAAGTTTTGAGAAAAAGTCATGTCCCATAGAGAATACACGCAAAATGTGAAAAAATAGCTTGCCTCCTTTAATCGCAAAAATACGCCATGATGCCTTTGTCAAAATGAAAAATTGTGACAATTGGATTTGTAGAGAATTGTCTCAGCTAGAACATATCAAATTTTAAAGAAAATAATCAATTTTTAGAAAGATACAATCAATTTTCCAAAAAAATGCTGACGTCATAATAGGCAAATTGAAATTTTGAGTTCGGAGGCCATTATGATGACGTCATGAGTTAATTGAGGGTCAATGAGACATGAAATCATATCTCTGATTTATACTCGCTCAAAATATGAAAACAAATTGGGTCACCTTGCATCCTAAAGAGCTATAATGGATTTTGCATAGGCATGTTTTTGCCCATATATGCTATGTATTACAAGAGCTCGCGCGCATTGAAATTTATGTTAAACGGTCGATTATTCAATTATTTATAGTCATAAAGAGACAAACATGGTATCAATTTGTTTGAAGAATATGTGGAATATTATGAAAGAAAAAAAATGTCGATTCTATGGTGTCTAATAGTTTAACGCGCGAAAACGCGCGCGCATGCGCGTGTGCGCGCGATTTTTAAAAAAATGCTTAGAATGGCCTAAAACGTATGCAAAATGATTTTGAGACGATTTTGAGCATTTAAATTTTGCGCGCGTATTGACGCGCGGAGGTACGCGCACGCGCGCGTTTTTTGACCTGCAATTGACCGGACGGATATTGACCTTGATCATAATAAATATGAATATGAAATAACCTTTGGTTATGAAGATATGGTCATGAGTTGATTTTCGTAAAATTTTACAAAATGGCGCCTAGATGACGTCATCAGTGAAGGTCAATATTGAAAACGTTATTGTGCTTTGTACATATGCTTATACATATGTATGCCAAATTTCAAGGCATTTGATTGAGCCATTTCCAAGTTATCTTGCCAACAAAAAAGTGGTTAGAAATAAGAAAAATATATATAAATAATAATAATAAAATAAAGGCAATTCTAACGAAATTATAGGTGGTCTGTACGTTATACAGCCCACCTGATAAAGGCAATTCTAACGAAATTATAAGGTGGTCTGTACGTTATACAGCCCACCTGAATTACATGAAATCAGTTTGCTTTAACATATCTAAAGACAGAAAATTCCTTTCCAGTATCTCACACCAGTCTTTGCAAACAATGCTAATAACATTTCAAATTATTTCTGACTTAGAAATATATTTATAAAACAAACAGTTAATGCATTATGTTTGCATTAGAATTCAAGATGGCTACCTGCCTTTTAAAATATTCCCAATGGCTGACTTTCAAAATGGCCGACTTCCAGCATGGCTGACTTTCAGTGTCTGCCGAAAAAGGGTCATTTACAACATTTAACACATATATTTTAGATTAACTCTCATTATCTCCCGATTACCATTCCAGAGAAGTTTATCCCAGTCGCCAAAAAACCCAACAGACCAGTCACCCGCAGTAAAAGACCAAACCAGTACATCAACTACTCTGCCAGGATCGAAGCATACAAGAACAGCTTCTATGCTCGTATCATTTAGCAATGGAATCAACTACAAATTAGCCACCATCATCAAAGAGTCAACATCAGCCAAGTCTTTCAACACCAAAGTTTGGAGCTACATGCAGACGACCACTCAGCGCACCTGTGCATAGGCGGGCTAGAGCGTCGATGTAGCTCAACTTCATCTAAAATTAGATGATATCTGCAACCCACTGTATGTTTATGATAAAGTCAAAACATCCATATATGGGACTATGATGAAAGTTGCTTGGCCTATATGCTCTCCAAATCGTGTAGAAGTAAAAACAGACAAGAAGATGATACTCACCATCAAATCCAAACTAAAATCACAGTGAAGATGTTTCCAGGGCAATAAAGAACACTAAACATTGATAATCGTTGATATAAGTTGATAATATTGGTCGCAAATGGATAAAAGAATTTTTAAAAGTCGCAGTCATGTGCGTAGAGTAATAAAACCATACAATGTGTATATGAGAAAAGAATTCACTTAGGGGAGCCTTCCAAAGTTGCGACTGTGCCCGGACGCGTCGGGGCGCCATGAATAGAAAGGTTGCGCCTCAAGAGACGCATTTAGGCGCAAAGGGGCGCAAAGGGGCGCAAAAGTCACCCTCACCTGATTCTTGCATATGAAAAGAAATTGTTGGAAGATTATCTCTCCCGCCTTTGTTCTCGCTCGTGATGCGCGATGCACAACAGTACAGCTTAAACTTGCTCTACAGAAAGTATTTGTCAGCCAAAGCCTGCCTTTCCCTCTTCCTGTTCTCGTACTGATAAACATCCCATTGTTTGTAAAAACTTGATGTATTCTTCTCGCTTCGCGATCTATTCTTCTCGCGCCGTTTTGCGTCGCAACGGGCGGGGTATTATCTTTCCTATTATTGTGGAAGCTTTGCGATGTACATTGCTACAGCACAGCCTGAACTTGTCTGGTGGGAGCGTTTTTGTTTTGGGGGGCAATCAACACACTCGTTCATCTTGATCAGAATAAATTATGATATTTTTTTCTGTTGTTGGTTTAATACACCTCCTTTTAAAATTTGTGACGACTGTATGGAATGTGAAATAAAGATGACTATGTACGATGAATGGTTGTTTAATTGCGAGCTTGATTGTCCCCAGCAAGAAAAAGTAAAAGACAAATGAGTGAATGAATACATGTATGCGGTTATAGTCGGAAAATTGATTACTGTTTGGGACGCTTGTGTATGTTTGCAATTTGAATGATTATCAATATACTTGTATAATTTCCACGTCGCGATATTATTCTAGCGTCGTAATGAATTAATGAATTTAATATCATTATTCACGCTACTTGTAGCACATTGCCACAGCCTGAGCTTGTCAGTCAAATCCTTTTTTTCTTCTCCTCTCTTGACTTGGTTCTAATAAACAACCCATATCGTATTAAAATAAAACTCTATGTATTCTTTTGCGTCGTGTCTTTCTTCTCGTGCCGTTCTTTGCAATAGTCAGACGGGAGATTTTGACATTGTTTTGGTAATCAATGAACTCACGGTGCGTCATGATCAGTAAAGGAAATATTTATAAAATGCATTATAACAATACTAATGGTAATAATAACAATAATTCTAAAGTGACTTTTTAAACACTCTTCCATACCCTCCCCAAGTTAGTATAGATATGAATCGACGAAAATCTGAACGGATGTATTTTTGATATTTCAGCTGTTTCTGAACCGTTTTTGATCAAGTTACGTTAATTCTATCATTAACACAAATTGTATACTCTTTCTAATTGACAAATTTTCGCAAAATAAGTATAATAAAATTGGCCGCGTATAATCGGCTTTGCAATCTGTATACAAGTTCATGTCATATCCAGTGGCGTACGCATGATTTCCCTATATAAATATAAGGTATCAGCAGTTGGAAAAGCAATACCAAACATTCACCATCAGTTGAACGGCGATAATTTATTTCACGCCCGTGATTTACCTGCGTTTTAAATCATAATAATTCCATAGCTCTTTTTAAAAGTGGGGTGAATAGAAAAAAGAGAGCGGGATTATAAAACATGCCTTTCTAAAGGAAAGAATAAAATTCGGGAACAATACAACACCAACAACAACAAAAACTTATAAAAGACGGAAAGACCAAGGACTATATCGAGATTTCTTCTTGACTATTTCTAAAATGCTTTTTTAAATAAATTTCTTGAGGAATTTGTAAACTTTTAAATAGAGTATATTCCTGCAGACTACGTACAGTTACCGTTCTCGGACAAACTGTAGATTAATAAACAAAATAATAATACATTGGGGGGGGGGGGGGGGGTTAGGTCATCTTTTTAGGTCAGGCATTGGCATATATATATATTTAATTTTTTTTTATTTATCTACCCTACCGGTGTGGCATTTTTGTCATCATATAATAATCTAAGCCTTATCGATGTACGGTATTTACATGACAATACGCTGTTCATTTTATAAACTTGACCAATTTAGCGAATCATTCATGGATGGACCTCTTTTATGAAAGGCTTATCCCCCATCCTAAGAGGAACAAAAGATGTGAAGAAGTAACTACTCTCACTGGAAGTTTACCGTTTTGAAAGAAGAGGATGTAAGCCTAAACGTAGGTCAATAGGTCAATCTACATGATAATACAAACAACCTCTCTAACTTATATACCTTTACGAGGGCATGTAACCATTTTAGAGCAGGTTTGAGTAAAATATCTTGATCAACCTAAAGCCGGTCTTGGTTTGAGCGGGCGTATGAAATGTTCAAATGTTATGTTCTGAAAAACGACCCCTTACTCTTCCTCTCTCTCCCCACGGAATATCACTCTTGTCTTGAGCAACTCCGGCGGTATAGCCACGAATATGAGACTTTTCCTGGCAAGGTTGCTACCATTGTTGAAGAAAAAAAATGCAAGGCAACATAAAAACAAGTTTTCTGGCAATGAAGAAAAGCGAGTGCAAGATGAAGAAAATAATGTTTATTATCATTACTATTTATTCCAATATTGTAAGCATTATCATCATCATTTTGATGTACCGGTTTACATGTACATGTCATCTATAGAACTAATCTTGAAACGAGGATTATCAACGTTTTATTGACACGATTTGTTGAACGATAACACAGATGGAGACGAAGACAAATAAATTGAATTCTCACGTTGTTTGCACTTCTTTCTTTATTGTTTCATATCATGTAATGAATTACTTTATTTTCAATATCATTTATTTTCGTACAAATAAAAGACTACCAAGACTACGGCGATTAATCCTTATTAGCCACACCTTTCAACAACAACGCGATGCGGAAAAAAAACACACTGAAGCACAATTCCAATTTCACGAAAGTCCTGACGTATTCAGTGAGGGAAGGAGAAGAAGGGAGACAGAGAGACAGACCAGGCGCGGATCCAGGGGGGGGCCGAGCGTGCCTTGGCCCCCCCCCGCAAAAAAAAAAAAAAAAAAAGAGAAGAAAGGAAAAGAAGGGAAAGGAAAAGGAGAAAAAGGGAAAGAAAGAAGAGGAAGAAGAAAAGAAAAGGGGGAAGAAGGAGATCGGGGGGGGGGGGGGGGGCCGAAAGGGCCTTGCCTCCCAGGCTGTTAACACCCCCCCAATCAAAACAAATAAGAGAGAAGGAAGGAAAGGGAAAGAAAAAAAAAAAAGGAAAAGAGGAGATACTGGCGTACTGATAGGGGGGGGGGGGGCTTGGGAGAAGTCAAATTCAAACGTGGTTATTTTAATTCCACAACGGTGGATTACAAATAATGCTGAAATGACATAATTTCCGAAATTTTTCCTCACTTTTAGTAAAATTATACGTTTGTATGTGTTTCAGGGCTCAAATTAATTTTTTGTCCACGGGGGCTCTTCCCCCGAAAAAAGAGCCCCCGTGAGCCTTCTCACGGGGGCTCTTTTTTATACAAATATCCATTTAACTGGTACCTATGATACTCTTCAATTATTTGCTATTCATCATTATCATTTCAATCAGCATTTTCCTCTTACAAAATTTCAAGCTACATAGCTGTTACTGGCCTGTGTATATAATATACGCATACAACACTGATCTTTATGATGTCTTTAACGTGACAAATCTTCTTCTCCCCTTGCAAACGAAAAAGAAAACATGGTCATTAAAAAGGGATTAAGCGACAAATAATGATTGTGATTCAAATTGATGCGAATATTCGTTTGAATAAGCACTGCTATTCACCCGAAACTTCTTTTGAAAAACAACTTTTACAAATCTCAGCCATGCTTACTGAGTTGAGACGTTCCATTCAATTTAAAATACCCATTACATAATACCTTCTCCTAATCTCAAAGTGATCTTACAGCACAGTGGCAGAATTGCATGGCTGAGATTTGTAAAAGTCGTTTTTACAAAGAAGATTATGGTGAAAAGCATTGCTTATTCAAAAAAAAAAAAATCTTGCATCAATTTGAATCACAATGATTATTTGTCGCATGGTCCTTTATTAAATAACCTTGTTTTCTGTTTTGTTTGCAGAGGGAGAAGAAGCTATGTCACGTTAAGAAATCATAAAGATCAGTTGTATTATGCGTATATACATATGATACCAGAACAAATGTTGATTATCAGAATGTCATTTTGGAATACCTCTATACAAATACCACATTGTCTTTAGTCCGTATCAGTATTAGTATGATCCTATATAAGGCTATTATTCTTTATTTAATTCAGTATAATGCTTTTCCTCAAAATAGTTTTGCTATTTTTTTAGGGTCGAGACGCTAAGAAATGGTTTCAAATGTACATTACACGAACCCTGAACCATTGCAAAAATGATGGTGTTTCTCTCTCTCTCTCTTTCTTTATCTTAATTATGCATTATCAACTACATATAAAGCAGCAACCAAAAACTTAGGGTTATCTGAGAAAGGTGAAAGTAAGAGTTAAAAAGAAAGTCATTCTAAAACGGCGCTTCACTTCCCACCGCCCCCTGAAAAAAATAAAATAGATTAGTAGTCCTCCTCTCCAGAATCCACCTCCCCCCCGCTTTAATATCACATTTTCACTTGGCAGCCCAAGGGGCCGGGGGGTGGGAGGAGGGGGTTAAACCCCCTACCCCCCCTGCCGTAGATCTGCCCATGTTACCATATCATTCCACGACATTTTGGTCTTCCTCTTCTCCTCAAAAGGGACTTTTAGATTTGCGTGGACGTGGACGTGTTACGTCCTTTTAAGGCACTGGCAATCACATGTGACGTCCTTTTAAGCACTGGCAGTGCCTTAAAAGGAGATCACACGTTGCAGTCCACGTTCTCATCGTGCAAATCTAAAAGTCCCTAATATTGATTTACTGGTCGAGGTTCATTATTTGCTGACAACGAAAAACTTCTCCAGGCCATGACCATGTTTCTGCCCTTGCCCGATCGCCTCCAGCTCCAGCAGACATGGCGCGGCAGCGTGCACACGCACCGCTACTAACGACGCAGTAGGCCTATAACCACTGCTGACGGCGGCACTGCACTGCGAGCTGAATCGGTAATAATAGGCCTACTCATAAAACGAGAAATCTTGCACGCTAATCTTAGTTCCATTTCATTGGTTTAATCGTTGTAATGCAAAATAATTACATGTCATATTCTTTTTTCTCCTGCAAGGGCGCCGGGCGGAGGGGGAAAACCGATTCTTCTCTCAAAAGAACGAATGAAACATATACTTTTCGTCATTTTTTTATATAATTAACGAACGTTTAGTAAATTATATCAATATCATGTATAGGAATCCGTGAGCGTCATGCATGTTATAGTTGGGGTATCCAATGTTTGCGTAAAATTTTCGTCGAGTGAACATCTGTATTACACAAAAGCGCAATGTCTAATAAGAAGTGGTATATTTGTGGAATTAAAGTCGACAAACAAACCACGTCATTGCAAACTCGAATTTGAAGTATCTTAGGGCACAATGGCGTGGTTTTCCATTCAGTGACAAAATCACGGAAGCCTTTAAAAAATAAAACGATTACCGTTAAAAAAATATATATTTAACGAAATTGACTGTCTACGTCATGTTGATTCAACTAAAACCTAAAGCCCCAGTCCCATATAAAGCCGGACGAGCACGGACGAGCACGGACCACTCCGGACCATCCCGGACCATGGTCTGGGGTGATCCGGGATGGTCCGGGATGTTTTGTTCAAAAAAGTGTGATGCTTTAAAAGCTACAGTCCCATATACGTCCCGGACCGTCCCGGACCATCCCGGACCCCATCCGGGGTGATCCGGGATTCGGTCCGTGTTGACACCGTGTTGGCACCGGGGTGGTCCTGGATGGTCCTGGATGGTCCTGGATGGTCCTGGGCGGTCAATAACTCACTCCCGGACTGCCACGGATCAACACGGACCGCCCCGGCGCCACTACGGATGACCCCGGACCCAGCACGGTGGCTACACGGATCACCC